GAGGATGGGTTAGATTGGGTCAGCGGAAGAGGGCAAAATGATAAATGCATTTTGTTTTAAAGTGCAAGTATCCTTTAACCTGCCTAGTGGTCTGATTATGTCAGTATTTCTGTGCTCAAAGCAGTACATTGGTTTCAATGGAAATTTTTGTTGTTTTTTTATTGTAGGCCTGTAATTCTTAGGAATAACTCACCGAAATCTGTCCGAACAAGAGTCTAGTAAACATCCCAGGTATGATAAAATTTTGAAACACAAAATCATAAATTGTAATATAATTAAAAAATCATTAAAAAAAATAATATAATAATAATACATTTTATTCAATAATGTAATCAAACCAAAAACACTGAAATTTGAAATATAGCGCCAAGTTCGCACATCACTAAGCTCAGTCGCAGAATCGTTTTCAGTGTCTGATGATGAATTTCCCCATTATCATTATCACTAGAGATGAGCGAATTGAAGTAGGCGAAGTGGAATTCGAGTCGAATATTGGAGAATCAAAATTTTTCCTAAAATGGCGGCGGACATGTGCGGCGACGGAGCGGGGATGTCTGGGAAGGCGCGCAGACAAGGCGCGCTGACCCATAATGCATTCCTTAATGACATGTGATCGCATTAGCCAATCAGCAGCCAGCCAGCCAGCACTGTGTAATGGTCGAGCTATAAATAGCGGCCATTTTAGAATTCTTCATTTGCCTCCAGTCATTCAAGAGAGGCAGACCGCTCTGTATTAGGGACAGAGTTAGGGCCACAGAAACGTTACTTGGGGACAGAGAAACGTTACTTAGGGACAGAGAAGCATTACTCAGGGACACAGAATTGTTAATGAGGGCCACAGAATCGTTACTTAGGGCCAAAGAAACGCTAGTTAGGGCCACAGAATTGTTACTCAGGGACAGACAGAATTGTTACTCAGGGACAGACAGAATTGTTACTTAGGGACACAGAAACGTTAGTTAGGGCCACAGAATTGTTACTCAGGGACAGACACAGAATTGTTACTGAGGGCCACAAAACTGTTACTTAGGGCCACAGAAACGTTAGTTAAGGCCACAGAATTGTTACTCAGGGACAGACAGAATTGTTACTGAGTGCCAGAGAATTGTTACTTAGGGCCACAGAAACGTTTAGATAGGGCCACAGAATTGTTACTCAGGGACAGACACAGAATTGTTACTGAGGGCCACAGAACTGTTACTTAGGGCCACAGAAACGTTAGTTAGGGCCACAGAATTGTTACTCAGGGACAGACAGAATTGTTACTGAGGGCCACAGAACTGTTACTTAGGGCCACAGAAACGTTAGTTAAGGCCACAGAATTGTTACTCGGACAGACACAGAATTGTTACTGAGGGCCACAGAATTGTTACTGAGGGCCACAGAACCGTTACTTAGGGCCACAGAATTGTTACTCAGGGACACAGAATTGTTACTGAGGGCCACAGAACCGTTACTTAGGGCCACAGAATTGTTACTCAGGGACAGACACAGAATTGTTACTCAGGGACACAGAATTGTTACTGAGGGCCACAGAACCGTTACTTAGGGCCACAGAATTGTTACTCAGGACACAGAATTGTTACTTAGGGCCACAGAAACGTTACTCAGAGACACACAGAATTGTTACTGAGGGCCACAGAACCGTTACTTAGGGCCACAGAATTGTTACTCAGGGACAAACACAGAATTGTTACTCAGGGACACAGAATTGTTACTGAGGGCCACAGAACCATTACTTAGGGCCACAGAGAAGGTTACTCAGGGACACAGAATTGTTACTGAGGGCCACAGAACCGTTACTTAGGGCCACAGAATTGTTACTCAGGGACAGACACAGAATTGTTACTCAGGGACACAGAATTGTTACTGAGGGCCACAGAACGTTACTTAGGGCCACAGAAACATTAATCAGGGACACAGAATTGTTACTGAGGGCCACAGAATTGTTACTTAGGGCCACAGAATTGTTACTCAGGGACAGACACAGAATTGTTACTGAGGGACACAGAATTGTTACTGAGGGCCACAGAACCGTTACTTAGGGCCACAGAATTGTTACTCAGGGGGACAGACACATAATTGTTACTCAGGGACACAGAATTGTTACTGAGGGCCACAGAACCGTTACTTAGGGCCACAGAATTGTTACTCAGGGGACACAGAATTGTTACTGAGGGACACAGAACCGTTACTTAGGGCCACAGAATTGTTACTCAGGGACAGACACAGAATTGTTACTCAGGGACACAGAATTGTTACTGAGGGCTGCCACAGAACCTGTTACTTAGGGCCACAGAAACGTTACTCAGGGACAGACACAGAATTCTTACTCAGGGACAGACACAGAATTCTTACTCAGGGAAAGACACAGAATTGTTACTGAGGGACACAGAATTGTTACTGAGGGCCACAGAATTGTTACTCAGGGACACAGAATTGTTACTGAGGGACACAGAATTGTTACTCAGGACAGACACAGAATTGTTACTCAGGGACAGACACTGAATTGTTACTCAGGGACAGACAGAATTGTTACTGAGGGCCACAGAAATGTTACTAGGGCCACAGAAACGTTCACTCAGGGACACAGAATTGTTACTCAGGGGACAGACACAGAATTGTTACTCAGGGACAGACACAGAATTGTTACTGAGGACACAGAATTGTTACTTCAGGGGCCACAGAACCGTTACTTAGGGCCACAGAAACGTTACTCAGGACAGACACAGAATTGGTTACTCAGGACAGACACAGAATTGTTACTGAGGGACACAGAATTTTTACTGAAGGGACACAGAATTGTTACTGAGGGGACACAGAAATTGTTACTCAGAGCACAGAATTGTTACTGAGAGGGCCACAGAACCGTTACTTAGGGTACACAGAATTGTTACTCAGGGACAGACACAGAATTGTTACTCAGGAACACAGAGAATGTTATCTGAGGGCCCACAGAATTGTTACTGAGGGACACAGAATTGTTACTCAGGGAGGGACACAGAATTGTTACTCAGGGACACAGAATTGTTACTGAGGGACACAGAATTGTTACTGAGGGCCACAGAATTGTTACTCATGGGGCGCGGACTCAGAATTGTTACTGAGGGACACAGAATTGTTACTGAGGGACACAGAATTGTTACTCAGGGACAGACACAGAATTGTTACTGAGGGCCACAGAACTGTTACTTAGGTCAGACACAGAACTGTTACTTAGGCCACAGACACAGAATTGAAAGAATTGTTACTCAGGGGACACAGAATTGTTACTGGGAGGGACACAGAATTGTTACTGAGGGGACACAGAACTTGTTTGTTAGGCCACAGGGACACAGAATTGTTACTGTTACTCATTGGGACGGACACAGAATGTTACTCAGGGACACAGAACTGTTACTCAGGGACACAGAACTGTTACTGAGGCCACAGAACTGTTACTCAGGGACACAGAATTGTTACTTAGGAGGGACACAGAATTGTTTACTGAGGGACACAGAATTGTTACTCAGGGACAGACACAGAATTGTTACTGAGGTGACACAGAAATTGTTTACTGAGGGCCACAGAAATTGTTACTTAGGCCACACAGAAACGTTATCAGGGACACAGAATTGTTACTCAGGGACACAGAATTGTTACTGAGGGGACAGACACAGAATTGTTACTCAGGGACACAGAATTGTTACTGAGGGCCACAGAACTGTTACTTAGGGCCACAGAAACTGTTACTTAGGGACAGATCACAGAATTGTTACTCAGGGGACACAGAATTGTTACTGAGGGACACAGAATTGTTACTGAGGGACACAGAATTGTTACTTGAGGGACACATGAATTTGTTACTCAGGGACAGACACAGAATTGTTACTGAGGGCCACAGAATTGTTACTGGAGGGCCATAGTGTCAGAACTGTTACTTAGGAGGCCACAGAAATGTTACTCAGGGACACAGAATTGTTACTCAGGGAGACACAGAATTGTTACTCAGGGACACAGAATTGTTACTGAGGGACACAGAATTGTTTACTCAGGAACAGACACGAAGGATTTATTGAGCGGCCACAGCACAGGTTGTTACTCAGGGCCACAGAATTGTTTACTCAGGGCCACAGAATTTGTTACTCAGGGACACAGAATTGTTACTGGCAGGGACACAGCAATTGTTACTGAGGGACACAGAATTGTTACATGAGGGACACTGAATTGTTACACCTTTCAGGGACAGACACAGAATTGTTACTGTGGGCTCAGACAGAATGTTACTTTAGCCACAGAAACTGTTACTTAGGGCCACAGAAACGTTACTCAGGGACACAGAATTGTTACTGCCCCAGGACACAGAATCGTTTACCAGTGAGGCGGTTCCTAGAGAGTATGTCAGACAACATGCAGAGGAGTGGCAGAGGAGGCAATGTTTTAGGAGCGAGAGCAGTCACTCGACGCTTGGCAAGCAGAGTAATGTAAGAGGGGTCAGGATGTCCACAGCAAGCACTATCGCTTCGGCGCAGCCAGAGGCTTGGGCTGGCCCCCGGTGTCATCCAGTACAGTGACTTAGAGCTAACAGAGGGCGGTCAGGAACGGGGGGAGACATCCGCCTCTTCAGCTAGCCAGGCGAAGAAGTAGTGGCGAGGAGGAAGTGGCTCGGTAGCCGGTGTAGACTCAGGTCTGTCTCCTGACCCAACACGCAGATTGAGGGGGCTAGTAGTGAGGCAGAGAGACCCTAATTGATGATGATGAGGCTGATCGCACTTGGCAGCCTCGTCGTCATCAGGCTATTGCTTCCGCATCTCATCAGGAGAAGAGGGTGGCAGCTTGGACAGCACGTATCGCGAGCAAAACAGTCTCGGTGGGTTGTCTCCATCGCCACACTCTGCCATGTGCCACTTTCAGGTCTCGCTCAAATGTAAAACACACTGCTGGTGTGTTTGAATTTTTTGACATAGGGTGCTGGCAGATTACGGGCCTCCCATAGCTGCTGCCAGGCCCTAATCTGCCATGGGCCCCTATTACCGCCTCCTCATGCTGCTGCCAGGTCCACAGTCTCTCATGAGGCCATGTGCCTCCCATTGCTGCTGTTTCATCGCCTCCTCTGCCATGTGCCACTTGTCTCCTCAACACTGTGGTTGAATTCAATTTTGACATAGGGTGCTGGCAGATTACGGGCCTCCCATAGCTGCTGCCAGGCCCCTAATCTGCCATGGGCCCCTATATACCGCCTCCTCATGCTGCTGCCAGGTCCAGAGTCTGTCATGGGTCCCTGTACGGCCTCCCATTGCTGCTGTCTCCATCGCCACACTCTGCCATGTGCCACTTTCAGGTCTCCTCACACACTGCTGGTGTGTTGAATTTTTTGACATAGGGTGCTGGCAGATTACGGGCCTCCCATAGCTGCTGCCAGGCCCCTAATCTGCCATGGGCCCCTATTATACCGCCTCCTCATGCTGCTGCCAAGTCCAGAGTCTGTCATGGGTCCCTGTACGGCCTCCCTTCCATTGCTGCTGTCTCCATCGCCACACTCTGCCATGTGCCACTTTCAGGTCTCCTCACACTGCTGGTGTGTTCCATTTTTTGACATAGGGTGCTGGCAGATTACGGGCCTCCCATAGCTGCTGCCAGGCCCTAATCTGCCATGGGCCCCCCCTATATACCGCCTCCTCATGCTGCTGCCAGGTCCAGAGTCTGTCATGGGTCCCTGTACGGCCTCCCATTGCTGCTGCTGTCTCCATCGCCACACTCTGCCATGTGCCACTTTCAGGTCTCCTCACACACTGCTGGTGTGTTGAATTTTTTGTCATAGGGTGCTGGCAGATTACGGGCCTCCCATAGCTGCTGCCAGGCCCCTAATCTGCCATGGGCCCCTATATACCGCCCTCCTCATGCTGCTGCCAGGTCCAGAGTCTCTCATGGGTCCCTGTACGGCCTCCCATTGCTGCTGTCTCCATCGCCACACTCTGCCATGTGCCACATTTCAGGTCTCCTCACACTGCTGGTGTGTTGAAATTTTTTTGACATAGGGTGCTAGGCAGATTACGGGCCTCCCATAGCTGCTGCCAGGCCCCTAATCTGCCATGGGCCCCTATATACCGCCTCCTCATGCTGCTGCCAAGTCCAGAGTCTGTCATGGGTCCCTGTACGGCCTCCCATTGCTGCTGTCTCCATCGCCACACTCTGCCATGTGCCACTTTCAGGTCTCCTCACACTGCTGGTGTGTTGAATTTTTTGACATAGGGTGCTGGCAGATTACGGGCCTCCTATAGCTGCTGCCAGGCCCCTAATCTGCCATGGGCCCCTATTTACCGCCTTCCTCATGCTGCTGCCAGGTCCAGAGTCTCTCATGGGTCCCTGTACGCCTTCCTCCCATTGCTGCATGTCTCTCCATCGCCACACTCTGCCATGATGCCACTTTCAGGTCTCCTCACACTGCTGGTGTGTGTTGAATTTTTTTGACATAGGGTGCTGGCAGATTACGGGCCCTCCCATAGCTGCTGTTCTGCCATGCAGGCCCCCATAACTGGCCTGTCTGTGGTGGGTGCCTCCTCATTTGTGCCAAGGACATAGTAGCAGTCAGCCAGCGAGGAGTAGCGGGGGCAAAGTTTCCTATGCTCGGCGGTGTCCAATCATAGGGTCAAGCCCATTACGGGAAGTAAACGTGTAGCCGTCCATGCTGCTGACTATGTGGCCAGAGTCGGTCTCAGCGTTGGGTTCCTCTGCCCATGTTGGGACTACCATTCGTTGCTGTGTATCCGTCGCCATTCACTCTGCCATTGTGCCACTTTCAGGTTCTCCTAAATATTTACGGCGGTTCTTGTGATTCCACGGGTTTTTTGTCATAGGGTGCTGGCAGATTACGGGCCTCCCATTGCTGCTGCCAGGCCCCCTTAATCTGCCATGGGCCCCCTGTACCGCCTCCTCATGCTGCTGCCAGGTCCAGAGTCTGTCATGGGTCCCTGTACGGCCTCCCATTGCTGCTGTCTCCATCGCTCCACACTTATTGTATCAGCAAATCCTGCCATGTTCTTCTGCCACTTTCAGGTCTCCTCACACACTGCTGGTGTGTTGAATTTTTTGACATAGGGTGCTGGCAGATTACGGGCCTCCCATTGCTGCTGCCAGGCCCGTAATCTGCCATGGGCCCCTGCTATTTCGACTCCTCATGCTGCTGACGTTGCAACAAGGTGGAATTCAAACCCTACATATGTTAGACCGCCTTTTCTGAACAGCAAAAGGCCATCACAGATTTCCTGATGTTAAAAGAATATATAAAGGTACTCCCTCGGTGTAACTTAGATGTCAACCATTGGCAGCTCATGCTGATTGACACCATTGCGCTTGCTCAGGCCCTTTGAGAGGAGGCCCACGCTATTGTCGTCGGCAGGACTATGGGTATAAATCTCATATGAACGACGTCATTCCTTTGTTGCTCACGTCCTGGAACAAATGCTGTTAATAATGGCTGGTCAGGGTGCGGTAGACGTTGGCGCACAGATCTCAACGCCCACATGACCCCTGTGGGGCCCAGGACAAAAGAAGAGGAGGATGGTAGAGGGGACATTGGTGCTCAGGAATTATTGAGTGAAATGGGGTGGTTTTTCCACTCAGCGGACAGGAGTGGAGGAGCAGGAGCATCTGGTAGATGGAGGAGGAAGAGGAGACAGAGGGACCAGACGCACCGTTGGCAGTATGCTGTGGAGATGGAGGCAGGGAGTCCCTCGCATTCCTTGGCACAAATGGCCCCATAGCATGCTCGGTTGCTTGCGTCTTCTTACAGCGACAGCCGAATAATAACCATCAGACAGAGGGATGGACTTTGGCTGTCCACCTTGTTGGACCTGCTACCGTTCCAAAATGGTGGCCTTTTTCACACACCTGCTGAGAGGGAGGCCAAAAAACTACGTACTATAATAAAACCACCTATGTAGTCAGCTGGTCTCTGCCTGTCTGCGCGCCAACGTCCATCCTCAGACACTGTGGGCCCTGTGCGCTCGCGTTACGCTGCCATGGCAGCAGGGGAGGGGGGTGGTGGGTGGTAGGAGCAGTGGCAGCTCCTGCCCCAGCAGCAGCTGCCTCAGTCTGCAGTCGATGATGAGTAGCTTTCTTCACCAGCGCAGTGTGTGAGGAAACTAATAACCAGCCGCAGCAGCAGCAGCAGCTGCCAGCAGCAGCCCATCAGGTGGACCTGGAGCAGGACCTCAAACAACAGGCTTAGGCCTACTTGGACAGCACCCTGCCAACCGAGGTAGACAATCCCCTTGACTACTGGGCAACGAAACTTGACCTTTGGCCCCAACTAGATGAATTTGCCCTTGAAAGGCTGTCATGCCCATGCCCGGCCAGTAGCGTGGCATCGGAGCGCGTGTTTAGTGCGTCAGGAGGAGGTATTGCAACTCCGCGGAGGACACGACTGTCCACCCAAAGTGTGGAGAGACTCACGTTTGTGAAAATGAATCAGGCGTGGATTAGTCTGGATTTCAAACCACCAGTTCCTGACACAACTGACTAAATCCGCCATGAAATCATGCCCCAAACATGTGCCACTTTCAGGTCTCCTCACACTGCTGGTGTGTTCCATTTTTTTTTCATAGGGTGCTGGCAGATTACGGGCCTCCCATAGCTGCTGCCAGGCCCCTAATCTGCCATGGGCCCCTATTACCGCCTCCTCATGCTGCTGCCAAGTCCAGAGTCTGTCATGGGTCCCTGTACGGCCTCCCATTGCTGCTGTCTCCATCGCCGCCACACTCTGCCATGTGCCACTTTCAGGTCTCCTCACACTGCTGGTGTGTTGAATTTTTTGACATAGGGTGCTGGCAGATTTACGGGCCTCCCATAGCTGCTGCCAGGCCCCCTAATCTGCCATAGGCCCCTATTATACCGCCTCCTCATGCTGCTGCCAGGTCAGAGTCTCTCATGGGTCCCTGTACGGCCTCCCATTTGCTGCTGTCTCCATCGCCACACTCTGCCATGTGCCACTTTCAGGTCTCCTCACACACTATTAACCACCCCCTGGTGTGTTGAATTTTTTGACATAGGGTGCTGGCAGATTTACGGGCCTCCCATAGCTGCTGCCAGGCCCCTAATCTCTGCCATGGGCCTATATTACCGCCTCCTCATGCTGCTGCCAAGTCCAGAGTCTGTCATGGGTCCCTGTACGGCCTCCCATTGCTGCTGTCTCCATCGCCACACTCCTGCCAGGTGCCATCTTTTCAGGTCTCCTCCTCACACTGCTGGTGGGTTCCATTTTGTCATAGTGGTGCTGACAGATTACGGGCCTCCCATTGCTGCTGCCAGGCCTGTAATCTGCCATGGGCCTCCGTACCGCCTGGTCACGCTGCTGCTGGGTCCACAGTGTGACATGGGTCCCTGTACCCGCCTCCCATTGCTCCCACTCTGCCATGTGCCACTTTGAGGTCTCCTCACACTCCTGGCTTGGTTTACCCATTTTGTCATAGGGTTGCTGTATGGCCTCCCATTGCTGCTGCTGCCTCCACCGCCACACTGTGGCTCCAAACACTGGTTTTGGCCCCGTGACTGGCCAAATGAGTGAAGTGTGCGGTGATTCTAAGATCGACGGCACTCATCTGCATGTCATACTGACTGACAGTATTATTTTTCTCTTCCCCAGCAGACTCCAAGGGCATTTAAATTAAAGGTACAGTGTTCTGCACTAATATTAAGTCTCTCTGAAGCCTAGAAACACCCTTTTTTAAGTTAAATTCACAGCGAATATATTCGACTCGAATCGAATATTGTCCACGAATTCGCCGAATCAGTCGAATCGAATTTTTGAATACTTCCGCTCATCTCTAATTATCACTCAATTCTGCAAGTGGCTCTAATTTACTATCGCTGTTCTCTAGCTGGTCTAAAACCGCTTTTGACCTAAAGGGACGCTTTTTGGATGCCATGGATGTTTCTCAGTTTCCAGGCAGAAAGAACGGTAAAAATGCAGGCAGGGCGTATAGGACAAAGCACTAGGGACAAAATGTATGTGAAATGTCTTGATACAGTAATGTAATACTATTAGATTTTTAGTGTATTATGTGTATGTAAATTTTGACATTTTTGAATCTCCCGCCAGTTCCACCCCCCGTACGTCCCGATGCTCGCAGTGAACGGAACCCGGAAGACGGGTGCTGGTATAAGCCGGAGAACATGGGCCGAGGACACAGTGGGAGGAAAGTGTGTGGTACCAAGGGACAAGGTAAGCGATCCAAGGATCCAGAGCAATGCTGCAGTGTAATCGAGTGTAGCTCGGGGTTACCGCTTCTGGCACTGAAATTTAAAACCCCGAGCTACACTCAGGAATACTGCCAGGGGGGCTATTGCTCCTTTTCTATTTATTAAGAATGTGAAAATAGTTTCATGTCCATAGTCTGGGCACCGGTGCACTTTATGCCAGTCCTATAACCTGGAGTCTTGTATCTCAGGCAGTGCCACAGACTGAGCAAAACATATACACCACCCATGACTGCCCCCTGCATCTTTTTGTGCCGATATATATATATGAATGTACACATATAAAAAATCACTCTCATGTGATAAATAGATCTAAGAATTCATAATGAGAATTCCACAACTAGATGTGATGATCTCAAGGGAAATTAATAACATAGCTGTACTCCATATCAATCTTTTTCTGTCTAAATATAGTTATATAGCTATATACAGCACCAATACATTAGAGACTGTACATTGAAAGAAATTCACAGAATATATCTCTTTTTTGCCGCCCTGGATAATCACCGGACTGTTTTATTATAATGATTTGGAAAATCCATAAACCTCTCTGGAGTACTGCAATGGCTACTGATGTCAGCTAGAAAAAGAAGTCTCTATAGCTTTGATTAATTGCCTGTCTCCCTTAGCTGGGCTATTCACTTTGGCTAAAATGGTGTAGAAAATTGTGGGAATAACTTTGCCAAAACATAATTCATTGATAATAATTTATGTTTCAGAAATCACTTCCATTTTCTCTGAAGGAAAGATTTTCTTCTATTTCTATCTAAAAGTGTTAATAATTAAGTATATTACTTTGAAAGAACGTATGAATAATTGCTTTTGCCTTTTCACACTATATTTCTAAGCAATCTTTTAAGGCAGTAGTTCTGAAACATTGTTCACCTAGGCCTCACATACTAGTTAACTCCCAAAAAATCTTTGCTCTTGCAAATTTCATGCCAAAACTAACAATTTTGCTACAGTACATGTTACTATAAATGGAACTTTCGTATACAATTTATACTGACTTATTGGAGATAATTGCACATTGATTGCATGGATCCAATGTGGACTACTTTCCAGTTCATGTCTAGGAATGCAGAGCGGCACTCAACTTCCTTAATAGGTACCATAATAATTAGTAGGTGTAGTGCCTCCTTATAAGTGCATCAATGCAAAACACAAGGCTATCCTGCAATATTTTCAAATAACAGAACATAATTAGTACCTGCTATGCCACTGGTGAGTTTCTTCTAGAGATGAGGTATTGATTCAAAACTGGGCTCATTGAGCTGCTCATCTACCTGCCTTCTAGTGGCTACTTAAAAAGAAGTGTCTTCCTGGGAGACTAAACACAAGCACACAAAGTGCAAGTAAATGATTAAAAGTTTCAGAGATATAGGCAACTGAAATTATATCTAGAGTTTGACTTTTATAGGAAAGCTCAGGCTTGGTGCCACACCCTGCTGCCTCTTGGGCTTCCTTAAACCCAAATGTAGATATTGGTAAAGGGTAAGATATATATATATATATATCTATATATATATACATATGTGAAGTTAATTTGATAATCTAATTTTTTCTTTAAATTCTTTTTCATACCAGACACGAGGGTATTATTATATTTGAGGTTATATACTGTATTTTGTTAATGTATATATCATGTTTCTTCTTTCAGAATTAACCTTGTTGTAGATTATGCAACTCTTTGTTTGTTAAACAATCCTTGTTGGTCCTGAAGAAATGGGGAGAGAACAAGTGAAAAATGCGTAGACCCACTTCAAGAATGTGTCATAAAAATAGGAATGCCTGTTTGGCTTTAATCCTATTTTTAAATTCCCATCTCTACAATATCTCTACTTTGCTATATTTAGGGTTGATACCCTGGTAGACCACATTGATGCAAATATATATAACACACCCACCCTACTACACTATACTGATCAATGTTTTATGATACCAGTCCTGGTTCCCCCCTTCCCATCAGTTCCCTGCATCTCCAGTTTACCTGATTGATCTGTGTTCCTCATTTTGTGCATACAGCTTATTGTATATAGTTGGTTTGTTAGTTAGGCTTTATGTTACTATGTTAGGTTGCTAGTTAGATTTTGTTTGTCATTGGGGTATGATTCACTCATATTTTTATGTTTGCTGTGTTTTTGTTTGCTGGTGTTGGGATGGGTTATGTTTCACTGTAAATAAATCTAACTTAAATCATACACAGTCTGGTCTCAATCTGCTAAGTGTAGCTGCACAGATTTGGTCATCCCTGCTGCTAGTTCCTGATGTGTTACTCAATTGTTTATTGATAAACACACTTTGGGGTTAATTTACTAAAACTGGATAGTGCAAAACCTGGTGCACCTGTGCATGGTAACCAATCAGTTTCTAATTTAGCTTGGTCAATCAAAGTGATACTAAAGGTTTATTTAAAAAAAACAAACACAAACATGATATACTTACCTGTTCTGTGCAAGGGTTTTGCACAGAACAGCCCTGATCTGTCAAGGTCCTACCTTTTCCCTGAGGTTATGTTACTCCATGTGCTGGCGTCCATCTTGGATTCTGCTGTGCATGATGGGAATCCTTTTTATGCCTTCAGGTCTCTGAGGTGCTTCTCACCCCCCCAGAGGGGCGTGGCTGATGACATATAAGGGCCTGTGGCCCGCACATGCTCTTGGCACTTGTGTCTTGTGTCTTTGTGTTACTATTAACTCTGTTCTGACTCTCGTGACTCTCCTGGTATTCTGATTCGGCTTGTGACTTGACTATTCTTTGTATTCTCCTTTGATCTGACCCTCTGTTGCTGAACCCGGCTTGTGACCTGTGATTCTCGTCTGCTGTCCTGTACTGTTTTGTCCTGTTGTTGTTGACCCCGGCTTGTCTGACTACTCTTTTTTTTCTTCCACCAGCTACACGCCATTGGCGGCGGCCATTACCGCAGGCCTGAGCTGAGGTGTCTCGGGGGCCGCGACCTGGTTCCTGGCTGCGTCAAGTCCATCCCCACCATCAGGGGCCCTGGTGAAGGGCAGCCTGGGGTTTAGACTCCGCGCCCTGAGGGACTTCGGTCTGTGGGTGGTGGTTGTCGTCAGACCAGTGCATTACATTGTTAGGCCTGCTGTCCGTTCCTCGGCTCCTGCCCTGACATGATCCTCCTCTTCTCGGGACCCCCAGTGGCGCTGTGGGCTCCCCTCCTTGCTGAGTGCCCTTATATCAAACCGCTGGCTATGTGGGCACTCACGCGTGCTTGCTCCCGAGGCCCACTCTGTGTGTCCATAAGAAACACAGAACGGGGCTCAGCCCTGCCCCACTCTCACTCACTGGCTTGTGACTGACAGCAGTGAAGGCAATGGCTCTGAGCCAATGAGGAGGAAGAGAGCTGGGACAACAGCAGCTCTCTTGAACATCACTTAATCAGGATTGGGCTCAGGTAAGTATTTGGGCTGCAGGGAGGAACTGCACTGCAGGGGTGTCAGTGGGGGAAACTGATATGGTGAAGGTTTTTACTTTCATTCAGGCTTTATAACCACTTTTAGCTTTGACACAAAAACCTGGAAGCTGATTGGTTTCTATGCAGAGTTGCACCAGATTTTGCACTATCCAGCTTTAGTGAATCAACCTCTGTGTATTTAGTGTAGTGTGTAAGTGTAATAAATGTGTACCTTTTTAACCGCTTGTGTTAAAAATTTTAGAAATCCATTTCTATAAAATGTATTTTAGTTCACGTAAGAATACACAAACCTCTGGCGTTTAGACTATATTTTTTTAGCTCAGAATTTTTTCTTTAAGGGTCCCTTGACGCTAACCAGACATAAAATATAAACAAAGCATATCCCTCTATAGCAGTGGTTCTAAAACCTTCCTAATGCCCGAGACCCCTTAATACAGTTCCTCATGTTGTGGTGACCCCCAACCATAAAAATTATTTTCGTTGCTACTTCATAACTGTAATTTTGCAGTGGGAGTGGGAGGAGTAGTGCCACGTCATTGGTGTCAGTGGGAGGAATAGTGTCCCATCACTGATGTCAATGGGAGGAATAGTGGCCCATCATTGGTATCAGTGGTAGGAATAGTGCCCCATCATTGGTGTCAGTGGGAGGAATAGTGCCCCATCATTGGTGTCAGTGGGAGGAATAGTGCCCCATCATAGGTGTCAGTGGGGGAGGAATAGTGCCCCATCATAGGTGTCAGTGGGGGGAATAGTGCCCATCATTGGTGTCAGTGGGAGGAAATAGTGCCCCATCATTGGTGTCAGTGGGAGGAATAGTGCCCCCCATCATTGGTGTCAGTGGGGGGAATAGTGCCCCATCATGGTGTAAGTGGGGGGAATAGTGCCCCATCATTGGTGTCAGTGTCAGTGGGGGGAGGAATAGTGCCCCATCATTGGTGTCAGTGGGAGGAATAGTGCCCATCATTGGTGTCAGTGGGATGGTGGGAATAGTGCCCCATCATTGG